CCAAAGCCGGGGGCTGCTGAGGGTTTAGTTGTAGTGTCCGGAACATCAGATCAGTTGCGTACTGCACAGAGCCTTATTCAAGCCTTTATCCTTTGCGGACAAACAGCAGCTTGACAATCTTTTCTCATATGTTGTAAATTTCTCCTCAAGAGTTTTTTTTTTCCCCTTATGGGATACGTTATTTGCTGAAGGTACGTTTTTTTCCTCTCTTTAGATAGATGGATGAACTATGTTTTGAACGTTAAATTGTTAAAGTATTTACTAGTTTTTTTAGTAATATTTAAAGCCCACATAAGAATTTCTTTCTGACGATGAATGGATTTCAAGAACCAGGCTGGAGAAAATAATGCCCTAGTAAAACTTGGATAAAGAAATGATGTCTATTCTTCTATATACCTCAGCTAGAAGGAGGAGTCATAAATCTTACATCGAATATAAAAAGAAAGTCATTGAAGTCTAAAAAGATTCACACCATTTTTTTTCTGTGAGACGTCTTTTGTTGAATAAAATTATGAGGTCAAAGTGGACAATATCTCATAAGGGTATGAATAGTAACAGGTAGATTGATATAAAACGTTGGATGAATGGATGTGCGAATTTCGAGTCATGTTGATTCAAAGTTTAAATCTTGATCCGTGACATAAGTATATACCAAATGGGATGAAATCTTACGTTAATTCGAGTCTTGAATGTTTTTAGCTGTTTCGATTAAAAGTATTTCAACTACAATTTTTTTATTATAATATTATAATTTTTTAATTACAATAAAAATTTATGTAAGAATTCATCACTTATAAATATAAATTTTATATAAAATTTTGATAGTTTTTATATAATTTTGAATTTTGATCGATTAATTTTATTATAATTATTACGGATGATGTGCAATTGGACAGATCTGAATTGATTTTTTTTATTAATCGGAATAAATTATGTTTGGATTCAGGTGGATTGCACGTGATTGTATGGTTTAGATAATCGTTGGTGGTTCTACTTCCATTTTTATCTAATCCGTCGATTCTTATCCGACCTTAAAGAACCACTCAACTCATTCTAATCAGAATTCAATTCAAACTTATTCAACCGAAACTGAAAGTAATCGAAATTTAAATTAATTCAAACTAAAAGAAACCGAAATTTGGATTGGATTGAACTCAAATTAGATCAAATTTGAATTGATTTGAAATTCAATATTAAATTAAATAAAATTTTATTTAAAAATATTAATTTAATAAAATATAAATACAACAAATGATTAATTTATTTTAGTTTTATTTTAAATTATCTAGTATCTATTTTTTCTTTACGATTACAAATTATTTCTATCATTATAGCATAATACAATGTAATTTTATTAATATATATTATAAATAATTTTAAATTATCTAGTATATATATTTTTCTTTACTATTACAAATTATTTCTATCATTATAATATAATGAAATGTAATTTTATCTTTATTAAAATGTATTATAAATAATTTTTTATTTTTTTATTTTGATAAAATAATTAAATAAATCAATAATAAATTAATCATTTTAAAATAAAACATCATTGTAATATTCAATAAAATTAATTATAACATTTACTTTTAAACATTTTAGTATTTTAATATAAACTTTGAATAAGAAAATCATTACTTTTAAAAACAATAAAGAAAACAAAACAATCACAATAAACTGATAAAAGACATTAATAAAAATTAAAAGTTTTTTGTTATCAATTAAGAAAAGATAATTTCAACTTCAAAGTACAAAACAAAAATTAAAGAAAATTTTCAACACAGATATGCATTTTAATTTTCCATCAATCCACTATATTAGAAATTTCTTCTGATGCTATAATTGATCTCCTAGTCAAATTGACCTTTCCTTCATTAGTCTTAAACATTTCTTTCTCATCCACCAAATTTAACAATTAAATGGGAAAATAAATTATTATATAAAGCACTCATTCTTTATAAAATGATTAACAACTATTTTAATATAAGTAGCATGAGTAGCTTGATAATCATATCAAGTTGAGCAATGTCAAAAAAATAAAACTCGGTAAAGTTTGAATCTAGTTTCGAACTTCAAAATTTGAGTTCAAACTTAAGTTTTACATTATATTTGATTTGATTTGGTTTGATTACTATCTTATTTTAAAAAATTATAATTTGATGTAAAGAAATTTTTTTTTATAAATTTGATATAAAGAAAGATATTTTGTAAGTAAAATTTTGCTATTAAGCGAAGGCATATTTTGTTGTGCATCATAAAATCAATACTTGATCTTGTGTTTGAGATTGGAAATTTTAAAAAGTTTACTGCATGTACATGTCCCGATTATGTTTGAATGTTAATGGGTGGTATTAAAATGCTCAAGTTTTACCTACAAAGAGCTCAAGTCAGAATAAAGAATATGACCGATAAGAAAAAGAAGTGATGGGTAATTTGAGGTGGGTAAATGGATCTACTTGAAACTACAATCATATAGGCAACATTCTGTAATCAACATGATTTATCTGATTTGCTAAGTACTTTGGGCTTTATCAAATATTGGAGAGAATTGGCAAGGTTGTTGCTGCTTCATCCGGGCACTAAAATTCATCCTGAACCGAAACATGTTCGTACGAGGCCTACTCAAAGTGCAGCTACCTATTGTAGAAAATGATGGTACTATTCGAGAGTAGCCTTTACAAATCACTGCCACGAGGATAAGGAAGCCAACAAACAGATCTGTGACTGAGGTGCTGGTTCAATGGACTATTACTTTCTAGAGGCTGCTTCTTGGGAAGCTGCTCATGATCTGCAGCAGCGACATTTGAACCTCGAGGACAAGGATCGATTTCAACTGGGGATACTGATTTGAGTTTAATTAAGTAATTAGTAATTCTTTTATGTAACTGTGTTAGTTATAGATAACAATTGGTCAAAATTTTTATTTGTTTTAAATTCGATTTGATTATTTATATATAATATTTGAATTGATTTGATTTGATTTTTTAATTATTTTTTTATATATAAATTCGACACGATTTGATATTATATAAAATTATATTTAATTTGATTTAAAAATTAATAAAATATTATTTTTAATATAAATATAAAATTATATATATAAATATAAAATTAATTAATTAATTAAAATTTTATATATATATTAGATCGAGTAAAATTGAGTTTACTTAAAATTAGATCTTAATCCAATCTCAATATTTTCTTTTATCACTTAATTCGATCTAATATCCGATTTTTAAAAAAAAAATGATGTTAAAAATTTTAATCGAATTAAATCAAAACTCATCGAATATGAATCAAAATATTTTTTTAGTGTTAGTTGCTCTCAAGTTTTGGAGCCCTATTGTTGTATACATATAAAACATTATTTACATATTTATTAATTTTATTGATAAAAAAATTATTTAGAAGAAAATTTTGGGGAGATCTCGGAGGAAAATTTTTTTAAAATTTTAAATTTTTTAAAATTTAAAAGTGTATAAAACAAAACTCTAGAGATTTTCAAAAAAAAAAATCTCCTTTAATTTTTTTTTTGTTTTTTCAAATTTTGAGATGTCTATCACACTATCATTAAATGATATATGTTTAATTTAATTTTTCATAAGTTTTATTTCTTTTTTTTCAAATAATAAAAGTAATTCTATTTTATTTCGATCATGGCATGCCGCATTTACCCTTTTTTTTTTTTTTTTAACTTGACCTTGTTGTCATGCAACAGGTACTATTTCTTTTAGCTTCACATCACAATTTCTACTTCTCTAGCACTTGTATGAATAAAATATTTCTACTTTTTATCCTTAAATAATAAAGCTAAATTACAATGATAAAATTTAACATTAAATCATAATATAATAACAAATTTACCCTTCATTGGTTATGGAAAGAATGAAATAGCAATTCTCCCAACCATACGATTGGTAAATTTTGAATTTCTTCCATGAGTAATAGAAGGTTTTATTGAACATTGAACTTTATTATTTTTTTTCAATAAAATATTTTATTTAAAGGTTTTTCCTTGATTGTTTCTCTTTTTTTTTTTTTCATTTTAAAATTTTAAATTTATAAAAAATAAATTAGATTTGTTTTGAATTTTGAATTTTTGTAAAAACATAATTTTTTAATTTTTTTCACTTTTAATTAAAAATTTTAAATTTTTAACAAATTGTCGATATTTTGAATATTTTAAAAATGCCCATATTTTTTAAAATTTGAATTTATTGTATTTTTTTAAAAAATTTGTTAATTTTTTATGTGTTCAAAACTTTTATTTTTAATTTTTTAGATTTGTTTTTCTATTCTTTGGATTTTTTAAAAAAAGTTTATTTTTAAAATTTTTTGGAATTGTAATTTTATGAGTCTAGGGTGCAAAGAGTATAAATAAATTTCAGGGGTTTCAATTTAGGATATTATTAATATTACGTATATAAAGTAAAGATTAAGGTGTAAATAGAACTTTCCAATTTTATAATGTTTGCTCAATAATATAATTTTTTTTATACCGTCAAATTGATAATTTTGAGAGATACCCATATAACTGACTTAGAGCTCGTTTGGATGCAGCCAAAACTTCGGTGGGAGGCCAGTTGCTGTGCAGTTTTATGCTTATTGCCTGGTGGACACCCAAGCGGGTGGTTGGTGCGATTCGGTGTTGGTCAGTCACCAGCTAGCTTTTTTTGGTTGAGTGGATACCGATGAGATTGTTTTTTTGTTTTTCTCCTCCAAATAATATTCTAATACCAATTGAATCCTTGCCATTTTTTTTCCTTTTTTATTTTGATTTTGATTTAAAAATTATAAAATAATTTTATTAATTTAATATAAGGAATAAATTCTATTATATAAAACATTTAATAAACAATTTAAATAAATTTTAAAATTTTATTATTACATATAATTTTAATCTAATTCCTTTAATAATATTTTTTTTTCATTATCATTTTTTTATTTTATAACTTAAAAGCAGCGGCCCAATGCCGAGGAAGCAAAAACAAAGACAGCAAACGATATCTATCAATCTTGTTGGGAAATCCATCAAGAAGAAAAAGGAAAAATGAATCTCCAAGCTCAATCCTTGTCAACCCACTTTCCCCTCCCAGTCTTTCCTTCAAAACCCAAATTCCTTCCTCCAAAACGAATCCCATTTCTCAAAACCTCCTTCAAATTATGCTCGGTTTCCGCTGTTTCAGTCCCAACAACAACCCGTGCCATCGGCAACCACAAGCCATTTCCAGCTGAGGTTTCCAGGACCATCATGGAATTGTCTTGTATGGGGACCCTCTCCACTATAGCCCAAGATGGCTGGCCCTTGAGCGTTGGTGTGAAGTTTGCTGTGGATCCTGAGGGGACCCCTGTTTTGTGCTTTGCTCAGGCTTCTAGGCTGCACTCTCTTGATAAGCGCTCTGCCCTCCATGTTCAGGTCAATTTTGTTACACCCATATGTCTTTCTGTAATTTTATGATATTTCGTTTGTTTGATAAAGTTAAAAAATGTAATGCTAAGAGTTTTTGGATGTATAGTTGTAGATATTCTTATTGATATGATTTGCTTTCAATCAGTTAGAGCAGTGTGGGTTGCGGACTCCTCAGTGCACGATACAGGGCAGTCTTGTCAAACCAGCAGATCCAATGGTCTTGAGAGTAAGTTTTTTCTGTTTTGAAGTTGACATTTATTACTTCATTCATAACTTATACAAGATGTGACGTTTAACCATAATTATGTGGCCGAAGAATCAGGACATTATTTTGAGACTAATCTTTGAGACATCCAATGTTTTTCTTTAGCTGCAACAACTTTCTCATCATGTAGAAGCTTTACCATTTATATGTGTGCCTTGCCCTTGTATATGTTGTTTTCTTTATGTAGGATTCATAGCTGTGTTTATTACTGATTTTTAATCATAGTGAATTTTAAATTTTAGAGTTTTCTTCCAATTCTTCAAATAGTTTATTAATTGTTCTGTGCTTTCTTGATTCAAATACAAACTTCAGCTAAAGCTGATTGGATTGTCTGATAAGAGCTTGTTTGGCCCAGTTGGAACTTCTGTGTGAAGTATATATATATATATATATATTTTAAGTAGAAATGTTCCAGAAATGCTGTAAAGAAAAGTTAAGATGGCGTTTTTTTAACTTGATCAGAAGCATTGTAAGATGTAATATTTTTGTGAAAATGTTGTGAGGGGCTGAAATTACTAAAAGTTTGTTGAAGCACTTCATTGCAAAATCATGTAAGTTCTAACATGAATAGAATAAAGTGAAAGAATTATAGAATGAGGATAGAACTTGAGTGGAATTTCCATCTTTTTCAGCTACAAGACTTTTTTTTTTCAAAGCTACAAGACTTTTTCTTAAACTTTGTGATCCATTTGAGTTTTCTTGTACCCAATTGTTATGGAAATAATTCTTAATCTTTTCCCCTTTTGTTATTTTAATAACTTCCAAATGTTTTATATCCTTTTCCTATTATTTTTTGGGTTAGATTATTGATGAAAATGAGGTAACTGGTAAGTGTGTAATCATTGGAGATGCCAATTGAGGGCAACAATTTACAGTAACATGCATATTCTCTTGTTTCCTGTCTGTCTCTCTTTTTGAATTTGCTCTGAACCTAATTGAACTTTCTTATTTGGAATTTAAATTGATATTGCTCCCTTAGCATGTTTCTTACAAGTAGAAGTCCAACGTTTGATGCATTTTCTGTGTCTGCCTCTGCTGAGCAGTTATCACTTTGCTCCCTTTTCATCTCTCTTTTGTTAGAATAGGGTCTGAGTCTAGACCAACTTTCTATTTGAATTTTAAATTGAATATTTCCTTCTCAGCGGCTTGACTCAACATGGAAGAAGAGGTTTGGAGAAGAAGTGGATGAAAACAATCTATATATTGTTGATGTAGAAAGAGTACTTCAGATAGAAGACTTCAACGAGGTATTCTGTTTTGTTGACTTGTATGCATTATGTGTAATAATTTTTAGCCTACTGACTTCTGTTAGAATGTTTTATTTTAATTAATAGTAATATATTCAATTGTATTAATTCTAGTATGCTTTCTGTAACTCTTGAAGGATGGTCTATGGGTCACTTCGTTAGCTTATAAAAATGCAAATCCTGATCCACTTCGAGACTTTGCTGACGGAATTGTCAATGAAATTAATACAAATAACATGGAAGATGTCCACCGGTTTTGCAATGTATATGTTGATTTGGACTTCCAGGTGCATATCAATCCATTATCCCTTTTTTAGATAATTTCTACTTCAGTGTTGATTGTTGATTACTGCTTATCTAGAATTCTGTGTTAGAAATCAGCAATTCAGTCGCATCCAATCTCTTTCTCCTTTTTTTTTTTTTAAATGAGAGGGCATATATTGCTTAAGATTTCATTTGTTTTATAGTTGCCTTAAGAAAACATAAATCCAAATTCTTTTCATTCACCGGCACCCTTGTTAGGCTTTCTAATCTTTTAGTTGGTTTAAAAAATGTGAAATTTACAGAAACTATGTCACAGCGGAAACAAAGCATGATCTGGCTCTTGCTTCCTTTAAGCTTTTTTTTTTTAAGATTTGTAAGATGCTTGAAATTTATAATTTCCTATAGCCATTGAGGTTAGGAAGGAATTTAAATGTTGTCTTGAGTTTTGTCTGCTGCCAAGGATTGGAGTATCATCTGTAACCAGTAATGGAAGACATTGGTTGTGCATAATTGGGACCAAGTAGCTGATATGCTTTGTTTTAAGATGACACTAACAGTTGTAAAATTGTTGAATATAATTGTTTGGACAACGATGGAATTGACTTATTCAATTGCTAATTTATCATAGTGCTTCTGGTTTTGGATTTATGTAAATATTGTTCTCAAATATGAAGAGTTAAAAATCTGAGAGAGAGAGAGAGAGAGATTATGCAATGCATTTTTACCTACAATGTCTGTCTTGTCTACAAATTTCATCATGCTTCGGTTTCTTCCAACTGTCTTAAATACAGTCTGCAAAAGTTTATTATGTCATTTCATTTGTTTATTATGTTATTATGAACGGTAAACTCCACATACACTCCCTGTAACCTCATATGTTTATTATGTTATTATGAAGGTAATTTTGTAATTTCACTGATATCTTGTTGATTTTTGACAATATAACCATCTTTTGGTAATGGAAGTGAACCATAAGTTTATAAGTGAGAAAAAATTTTCCCAGGGGATGTAAGTGGGAAAGTCACGAACTACAAGAGTTTACCCTATTGTGAAAGACTAAACGTTCATAAACTGGTATTAGCATGTTTTGTATAATCTACACTGGTATGCATAACATCTTATGAGTACCAGTGACGCTGAACTATCTAATGTGACATAAAGTTGCATGCTTGCCTATTACCTGCAATGTAGATTCAGACTTAAGTTTTGTCTCATACTCTTATGGGATTCCATATGGCATAGCAGGTATCGGATGCAAAGATGATATGGGTTGATCGTCTTGGCTTTGATCTGCGGATTTACTCTCCTCGGAATGGTGTATTTGAGGTTCGAATTCCTTTTCCCCATGAAGTGTCTGATGAGAAAGGTGCTAAGTCATCATTCAATGGTATGTCTCAAATTGCTTGGGAGGTGGAGAAAAATTTCCATGTCCCTGACTTTCAGAAGGTGAAACAATTAAAACAAATAACATAAATTGTCTCATTGCATGTGTATCTTGTTTAGCTGATGGACCTCCATTGTTTAGAAAGTTCAAAAAGTTGCTATTCTCATTCAGTTTTGTATTCGATCTGTGCACATCTAACCCCCTGATGGTCGAACTATTCTTAAGTTTTATGTCTCCCTTAGGATGTCAATTCATTGCGTTGTGTATAGGTGTGATCGCTTCAATACATTGTCAGGTTCGAGCTTGGTTTGAATCGAAAACTCCGTATTGGAAACTTGACTTAAGTTTGATCGGCTTTCATTTTTTATGTTTGATTTCAGCTTGTAATTTAATTTAGTTGCTCGAGTTTGACTTAATAAGTTTAATTAAATTCAATAAAATTATAATATTGATATTAAATATTTATATTTTTGTTGTTAACAGTTATATATTTATTAAATAACTAAAAATTCGATTAGGTTAGTAATCTTTTGAGTCAGGTATTAAATTATTTGAATTTGATATGATTAGGTAGTTGAATAACTTGAATTCAAGTTCAACTCAACAACGTATGAATTTATTTTTAAGTGTTTCTTATTCAAATTCAAATAACTCATAAGTAATTTGATATGTTTACATTGTAAATGTTATGAATTAATATATAATTATTATAATTCAAATGAACAAAAGAACACATTATCTTATGCTTTATTGGTTCGTTTGATATATAAAATTATAATAAGATAAAATAATATTATGAATAGAATTAAATTAAATAATATAATTTTTTTTTTTTTGTGTTTGATGTTTGTAAATATTATGATAGAATAATATATTTATTAATTAAAATTATACTTCTTTAAATTTTATATAATTTAAATTATTATATAATTTTTAAAGATATAATAAAATATATAAATTTAATTTCATAAATTAAAAATAAAATTTTTTTTTTATTTTGAGAGAATTGAATAATTTCATGTCAAGATGATTAATTATTTTCGTAATTTTATCTTTTTTTTTTATATAAATCAAATATAATATAAAATAATTATCATTTTATGCGCTAAACATGTGCTATTAAGTAAAACTAATTTAACGGATTAGGTTGTTGATTTTGATTCTGTTAACCATTTTATTCTTTTTTTTTCTGAAAATAATAATTCCAGTGATTACTTCTTTATATTCACAATTCTTTTCTTAAATAAATGCGTTTGTTTAAATCACAATTCAGTTTTGAAGAATGTTAATCACATTTATCATCAGAGTTATTAAAAGGAATCCGAATCAGGAAACTAGTTTCAAAAAGTCCGAACTCGAATCTGATTAAAACGCGAAATGATTAACAAAAAAACTTTGTTTAAAAAGTCCCGAAAACCCGATCAGACTGAAATATCAAGAGAATGCAACCATTAAAATGATTAAAAAATTAAATGTGAATTCAATAATCTGATTATTGAATCTTGAAAGTGTCGATACTTAAAATTATCAAATTGAATTCAAAAATTTTAAATCTTAACCCAAACTAAGTTATCATTCCTTTTGCATCCTCTCCCAAAATAATCTCATTCCACCCTTCTTCTGAAGCATATTCAGCTGCTTTTGATGCGGCAATCCCCTCAATTATTGTTGCATCCTTAATTCCTGTAATGAGTATGGATGTAGTTCACAAAACCCTTCCATGGTGGTTTCTGGCAATCAATCCCATGCTTCCAACTCTTATCCAGATTTAGTGCTCCCTCAAAATTAATTTTCTCTTCGTACTCCTCCGGTGCACTTTATTTGACTTCAACTCTTATGGCTTTGACTAAGATTTTTGCATGAGCAGAATCAATTTTCTGCAGTTATATATCAATAAAATGAACAGTTTCTTGGCTCTCCCTAGTCTTTCCATTTTTAATGAACTCGTTTCGATTGAACCATATAGCCCAGCACATTACCATAATACGTCTAAGCTTTTCCATTCTTGTGTTAACCAGCATTACAAACCGCTCAACCAGATTTAGTCCTTTTGATTCCAGCCACTCTGCTCCATATCCCCTTCGATGAATGGCAGTCTTTTGTTGTGTGTATGATAGATTCTTCATCCTCCTAGCACCGTGGGCATAGTGTACCAGCCATTATCCTCCTTTGCTGCAGTCTTTCATATGTGGGTAAAGCCTGATTTCCCATTCTCCAAGCAAAAATTTTTATCTTGCTTGGAAGTGAAAGCTGCCATAATCTCTCCCAATTTGGACTGTTGTTGTTTCCTGTTGTCTCTACCCCTATTCCCTCTAGTACAGCAGCTTCCCATTCTGGTATTTTTAGAGCTTCATGAATATTTTGTGGGACTTTGAGTTATCTCAGTTTTTCCTATCACGGCACGAAATGCTGTAAACAAACGACTTTAAGATAAATAATTAGACAATAGGTGTTGAATGTAAGATCTTACACCTTTCCTAAATGTTATAGGTATGTTTAGATTGTCAGGTGGAGTGTTCACTGGTGATGGTGCAATAGGCTTAACACTTTTTGATTCAAAATTTACTAGCAGATGGGTATTCACTAGTGATGGTGTTGTTGGCTCAACATTTTTTGATTCAAAATTTACTTGTGGATCAGATTTTTGACAATGTGACTCGGGTACAAAAGTTTGTACTTCCTAAGATTGTGGTTTACGTCGTGAATAAACATGGAACTTTGTTTTTTGTTGAGGACTAAGCATAAATGAATCTCTCCCTATTTCCAACTTAACTTCTATCAGTGACACAATAAGAATAGCTGATGTTATAAGAAGTGGAGTAGAAAAATCTCAAAACCTATTTTCACCTAATATCTCTCTCTAAAGAGCTGGTTTTGGGTAAAATGGTTGATTTTCAAAGAATGTGACATCTAATGAGACAAATGTTTGTTTTATGAATGAACAATGGCACTTATACTTTTTTTGAGTAAGAAAGTATCCAATAAATATACATTTTATAACTCTAGGTTTTAGTTTCTCACGAGAAGGTCTTTTATTGTGAACAATAGATGTGCAATCAAAGACTTTAGGGGTAAAAAAAAAACAACCTAGTTTGTGAATAGGAGTCAAGTAACATGTTTAATAGTGTTTTGAAATTGAGAATTCTATTAGGAAATCTATCAATCAAGTATAAAGCTGCTAAAATAACATCTCTTCAAAAAAATTTAGGAACATTATTGATAAATATGATAGCACGAGCAACTTTTAATAGATGAGAATTTTTACATTCTACATCCACATTTTGTTGGGAGGTGTTAACATAAGAACTTTGGTGAAAAATCTTATTTTTTTTAGATAATTATCAAGAATTGAATTAAAGTATTTTTTCTCATTATCTGTGCAAAAAATTTGGATTTAAGCTAGAAATTGTATTTGAATCATTTTTTGAAATTGTTAAAAAATTGTCTTAACATCAAATTTATCTTTTAATAAGTAAACCCAATAAGTTCGTGTGTGATCATCTATAAAAGTCATGAACCACCTAATTCTAGTTATATTATTTTCCTGTGAAAGGCCTCAAATATCACTATAAACTAATGAAAAAGGTTTAGAGAATTTATATGGATGACTAATATGAATGTGTTTGGCAAGTTGACATGTTTCACAATGAAAGGAATGGACATCTTTATTCTGAAAAAGATAAGGAAAAAGAGCTTTTAGATATGAAAAGTTAAGATGTCTTAATCTATTATGTCATAACATAATTTCACCATAAACAAGAATAGATTCATCATTTAAAGCCAAAGTTTGTTTATTCACTTATTAAGGGTTCTGAAAATAGTACAAGCCTTCATGTTATTTAGCATTGCCAATTATCCTCTCCGACTATAAATCCTAAAACTCACAATATAAAAAATAGACTTTAGCTACACAATTCAAGTCTTTTGTTAATTTACTTATAGACACTAAATTACATACTAAATTAGGAACATACAAGATTGAAAATAGTGTCATATTAGAGATTTTAATATTTCCTTTTCCAGCAATAAAGGATAGTGATACATCAGCAATACGAATCTTAAGATTTTCAGAATATCGATTATATATTGAAAACAATTCATGGCATCTAGTCATATGATCAGATACCTTAGAATTTATAATATAAAATTTTTTAATATATGATTTTGCACCCAAAGCGGAGAGATAGTTTATCTTTTTGTGCATTGTGCACTTTGGTGTAGAATTGATAATTGTTTCAAAATTCACTTCTGATGCACTCTTGAAAGAGACTAATTATGGCTATTTTGGCCATTAGAACTGAAAAAAGAATAAAACTATACAAAGGAACCAACATTTACAGAAAAATTCATAAAATCATGACACAATCATCTCAATATAGAAACAAATAAAATTAAGTAATGACCTGGACAATAAATCCCAACAAATCAGGAAATAGATCCTGATTGCTGTCAACAGAGGTGTTAGCAGAATTGTTAGTTACTATTCGCACTCGTCTAAAGGCAGCCGTTGTTTATATTATGGTTTTTAGGTGTTTTAACTCTCTCTAGTGTATGCACATCTGTAAAATGCATCTGTGCCTGTATGTGTCTGTCATATCTGTGTCTGTGTACACATTGTTAACTGATACAGTTCTTGTAATTGTTCTTCTTTGATATTTATTTCATAGGTCCCAACATGGAGCCCACTTGTGATGAAGGCTGTACCAAATACTGCAGGAGTTGCTCCTTATTGATTTGGGATGTCTGTTCGTTTGATGAGAAATATCTGCTTGTGGAAGGAAATACTGGTATTGCCTGTTTTAGAGAAGCTTGCTCTTGATGAGCTTTTGTATGGAAAATTTTTACCTCATGTTCGATGCATTACTTCAGTCACAAGGACAGAACGGATTGTAGCTTCTTTATCAGGGGTGTGAGCAGGCACAAATGTCTCACGAGGTTCCAGGTACGAATAGTATCTATGTATACTGTATAGCAAAAGGTTAATCAGGTTGCATTAAGTTTCCTTAATCACTCTCTCTTCAACTGTTGTAATCACTATGATCCATCTGTATGCCTATTGAACTGAGTAAATTTTGAACAAGCGTGGTCCAATTATGGTTTGCACTGCCTTATAATCTACGAATTTAATTAAATATCTAACACCTGCTCCTGTCATCCCCAGCAGACTCCCACAGTGGATTATTGTTCATTTTATCTGTGTTCTATCCTTTCTCTCTTTCTCTTTTGTGCTACAAACATTGTTTT